TTTAGCTCTACCTAGTTTTCATTTTGTTTATTCGATTTGTTTGTATGGAGGATTTAATCATGAGCTGACATTGGTTAGAGAACCACTGGAAAACCTGGGAGTACTGGACAGCTGTTTCGTCCTAGTTTGGGACTCTTCATCACTACGCACCCACCGCCATCATTCGAACCCAGGACCTTCCGGTTACAAGGCGAGCTCGTAGACCATTGGTTCTTGAATTCTAACTTCCGCCCATTCACGACATAGCGCGACCACTTCGCAATGTCTTCTTCGATGAGTTCCTGCCTCATCTTCGACCTGCTGTACCCTACTGGTCACGGCTTCCCACTAGAACCCCATTCGATTTGTATACTCTTCCTTTATTTAGCCAATTGTTGCTCTTATTATTCTCACTGAGACTTGTCCCTAGTATTATTTCACTTGTCATTCTAAATCAATTTGTTTCGCAACAGAGTTCAATTCTATGTTGTCAAATTTCACACAGTGTTACGTAACGTTTTATTTCAAATCTTATTTACGATGAATCCTAAAATTTCACACCTTCTTTCCAACTTCTATACATTTTATGAATAGTTCTATATATGACATTAATTGTTTTGCCACTTGACATTTAACTATCATTAGAATCACAAACATTTTAGTTGCATTTCATACTACTCTTATTATTATTTTATGGATTCACACCTATGATTCAATTCCCTCACCGGGTATAACTTCTTAAAAACCATATATATATATATACATATATACAATTGAACAGATATGATAGAGAAGATTTGTAGCTCAGGTGGATGATTTTGATGTGGTTTTGTTCTCTGAGCTGGATGGTTAATTTGCGAAGCTTTCATCACCCTACTAGGTGACATCTTCAGCGCATACTTCAATTTGAAGTGAGCTTTTAGATTTCTCCACGAGTTTATTAATCATCTCTCCTGGTGACCTTGGACGTGATTGGTTGTTTATGTGTGTTTTCACATCTTCTTCACATCAGAACATAAGTTAGCCGCCAAAAGACATGATATCCACTCCCTCATATCACTACATACAGACAACCACGGACATCAATTCGACTGGGACAACGTTCAAATATTAGACAGAGGAAACAACAAGAATGCTAGAGAATTTTTAGAAGCTTGGAATTCCAGTGAATCATCAATCAATAGACACATCGAGATAGACAAAATTTATCAACCAACAAGAAAGAAACTTCACACACAAAGGGTCAAAGTTCAAGTCAAAGAAACAACCGGTTCCAATACAAGTAACCTAGATGTGAAAACACACATAAACAACCAATCACGTCCAAGGTCACCAGGAGAGATGATTAATAAACTCGTGGAGAAATCTAAAAGCTCACTTCAAATTGAAGTATGCGCTGAAGATGTCACCTAGTAGGGTGATGAAAGCTTCGCAAATTAACCATCCAGCTCAGAGAACAAAACCACATCAAAATACAATTGAACAGCTTGATAATAAATACGTTGAAAACATTCTAACATTTGCGAAAATAAAGTAAAGTCCGTTATTTTCAAGTATTGGTGGGTTCGTACTGATGAGGGGTCTTAAAGTGGGACGAAACAGCTGTCCAGTACTCCTAGATGGTTTTCCAGTGGTTCTCTAACTGATGTCAGCTCATGATTAAATCCTCCGTACAATAAAGTTCGTTATTTGTTAAGTTAACATCGAACATGAACTTTGAGAAATTTTTCCCTGGGGGTAGAAGAGGAAACAAGAAAATTAAACCAAATACTCTAGAAGCTATTTCTATCCAACCTAAATGGAGACACAGCAATAATGCATATGCGTTTCGAATCCGGAATGACCTAAATTCATATACTTCTCAGTTCTCCTAACTCATGACATTTAAAACACATGTGATTAATCCTGATTATTCACTTTATAATACTTGAACTGATGCATTTAGGAATCTAGTTACGAAGTCATGATATGTATGCTGGCAAAGATCATCATTGTCAGTAGTTAATACAAACATATTTTTTGATTTAATAGTGTGAAATATTTCCATATCATGAATTGAAAGTCACTCAGAACGAAGAATATTCCTTTCAATAATTTCTCCTCTTCAGGTTCTTACAATTATAAAATATAATAATAATGAGAGCCAGTTATGTGGCGGATACATTTTTTTGTGTACAATAACAGATTAGTTATGAGGTGTGAAAAACGTCGTGCTAGGCTGAAATCGAATACAAAACATTGTAAAGTGGGAGACAATGGTGGTGACTAGTCATAATAGATTTGCAGAGTGTGGGATAGGCAAATTGACAAGTCAGTTCAAGGTTATAAAAAGTGTCAGGTGAGTGGCTAGTTGAAAGTGGTATGTATTAAACAGGAGATAGTAAAGCTGCAATGAGAGGTTCATAATGAAATAACCAGTGTGTGAAATGAAACAGGTGGAGGCATATATTGAGAAAGGAGATAATATCACTAATAGTAATAAGTCCGGATAATATAAATAGAAAATTCGATAGTATTTAGAGAATGGTTGCATAAAGGGCATAAATTATGACAAATAATAATTGTAATAATAAGCAAAGAGAAAAAACCAAGAGGGTTAAGGGGAAGAAGCACTCTTGGTGACAAGAAAAATCAATCCACGGTACGTAAAGTGTCTGGACGTGTTCTTTTTAGATAAAAAGTAACGATTTTATTGCCACAGCTTCAGCTATGTGTAGAAGATGTAAGGGAACTGTACATGATAACGACTTCGGAGTTCAGTATATAATTCCATATTAGTTTGTTTATTAGATGTATCGCACAGTGAAACAGTATTATTTACTGGATGACGTTTCGAACAAAATTTATTCTTCATAATCATATCAGTTGTGATCACACGACTTTGAAATTTGAGTTTTATAGTTTTCTCTGTCTTCTCCGATTTGTCATCGTTGGGGTGGTAGAATTTTCCAGATGTCCGGGTGAGTGGAGAGGTGTTGAACCATTTCTATTACATGTATTTGCAGTTGATTTGATAAGCAAAGCTTCTGTTATCAATCTCTCCCTCCCTCCACCCTGTGACATTAGATTTTGAAACTGTCATCCTATCCCATCCTATTGTGTGGTTGTGTATTATTGCATGTAGTGCTATAGCTGGACTATTCTCTAGATTTCTTATCTTATTTGGGTCAACCGATCTGGATTTAGCTAGGTTTTTATCTTCGGCTAGTTTGACTGCCCCTGTTCTACTAGTCTGCCCTATGTATTTGACCTCACAATCATTCCAGCAGGGTATTAGATAAACTAAATTGTTTTGTTTCATTGGCTCCACTGGCAGGATCCTTTAACCGACGAAGCCTGTTTCTAACTTAGTTTGTGGGTATGAATACCAGCCATTTTTATTCCTGCCTAATTAACAACTCTGAATGAGGCTTCCAAGGTCCCTTCCTTGTATGAAATTACTACTGATGATTTAGATTCCTTATTGTTGGTGTCGTCATTAATATTGTTATTATTAATATCATTATTTTTATCACCATTGTTATTATCATTATTATTGTTGTCGTTATTATTATTATTATCACTATCGCTACTATCATTATTTATTTTATTTTTACATTTACTTACATATTTCCTGACTATTTTATCCGGGTAATTACTAAGTTTTCAGGCTTTTTTTATGTGTATCACTTCCTGTCTTAGATGTTTCTTGGTGCTACTTAGACTTTGTGCCTTGTTACTTAAACATTTCACCAGTCCTATCTTCACTAACATAGGATGGGATGATCGGAAGTCCAAGTATCTGTTTGAATGTGTGGGTTTTCTGTAAACACTAGTGTTTAACTTCCCATCTTCTTTCCTTTTTACGCTGCAATCTAACATTGGAAGCTCCCCTTCTTGACTTCCCAATTCATAAGTGAATTGAATAGCCTCCACCTTTGAGTTAATGTGTTCAAAAAATCTATCGATATCCTGTGTTCTAAGTACAGTGAATGTGTCATCCACATACCTCCACCATACTTTTGGGGTGGGGGTGAATGTTTCAATCGCTATCTTTTCCCACCTATCCATGAATATATCTGCTACAACCGGGGATATTGGTGATCCCATGGGAACTCCCTCAGTTTGTAAGTATATTTTCCCTTGGAATTTAAATACTGTAGAAGTCAGGCAAAGCTGCACTCCCAGCATTATGTCCTCAAAAGGCACTTTTGTCCTAAGTTCGAGTTCTTGGTCAGAAATGAGTTTGTTTCTGACTGCCTCTATAGCCGTATTTATTGGTATACGTGATACATCTAATAAACAAACTAATATGGAATTACTTACTACCACAGTGCCCAAGTTTTACACATATAGTTCGGTATATAACCCTGAAAGCTGTGTTGACATCCATGCAATGTCCAGTATCTACCAAGTGTGACAGGATCGAGCTTTTTATGCACTTAATTTTCCCCCTACTGAACGAAGCCGGTGAATGTTCTTGATTCTGTAGAAGAACCTGCCTAATCGTGCGCCATATATAACTTGAACCACAGGAACAATTGAAATGCTAAATGCATGAAGAAGAGAAGGTAAGACGTCTTTGAGTTGGTGGGTGAAAATTGGACAGCTCCTGAAGGATACCACTTTGTACCAGCCACTCACCTGACACCGTCTATAAACTTGAACTGACTTGTCAATTTTCCTACCCACACTCTACAAATCTGTTTTGACTAATCACAACCATTGTCTCCCATTTTACAATATTTTGTAATCGATTTCAGCCTAGCAAGTTTGTCGCACAAATACGACTATTTATTTGGACACCTCATAACTAATTTGTTATTCTACGTTAAAAAGTGTATCCGCAGCGTGCATAACTGGCTTTCATTATTGTAACGACAATAAATATTATATTTTATAACTGTAAGAATCTGAAGAGGAGAAATTATTGAAAAGAATATTTTTTGGTGAAAAATTGAATTTTTTTTATTTCACCAACTACAAAGATAAACAATAGAAAAACTGTGCGTTTTTGTTATTATACTTCCGTAATTACTTACCCGGATTAATTGAATTTATGCGTGCATACATCAGGATAAATAAGAGATTGACGGATAAAAGATACATTTAATCACCCACTGCTGTTACTTTTGTTATCGACCTTGTATATCGCATAAATAATGTGTAATATTTAGTTAATGATATCTCTTTGGAATACTATTAATTGTATATTCATGTATAGAAGAATATGATTGTAAGGAGAAGTGTCTGACTAATAGATAGATGTCTACAGAATACTTGGTTGTACTACAGATCTGAGGTTCACTCCTTCATTTATCAATACTTTCAAAGTTATCTGTCTTGAATGAATTTAAAGCGTTATATACACACACAGTGTTAACTGTCTCTTCATGGTAATACATTTCCTGCAACAATTACTGCATTCTTTATTGACACGTTGTAATAATGTCAGTGCCTCATGTGTCAAAAAAAATTGACAAAATAGGTGAGATAAATTTTCATCAGTTTTGTGTGTGTTATCGTCATCATCAGATGTCCATTCCACAGTGAAAATATACTTACAAAAGGTGTAGTAAATATTACAGGTAATATTAGACAAGTATAAATGTCCATTTTGACTAACACCAAATCAAATATTAATGAATATTCAACAAACCAATCAGAATGCAGAGATTTCTTAACCAATCAGAAGTCCTTAATTTTATACACTAAACTATGCTATATTTGATACATTATGGAATATAGATAAACAGCCCTAGATGGTTGGAAGTGATCACCAGCTTTTGTGCTTGTCGGTGGCACCTGTCTGCAGGGCTTATATGCATTCTGGAAGGAACCTGTTCCCTCTGAGATTCAAACTCACATCATCCATATTTTTATTGCAGTACTGTGTGTTATGGGTTTGAATCTTAGAGTGGATGTCAGTTCCTTTTTAAGATTGCAGATATGCCCTACTGATAAGTGCCACCGAAAATCACACAACCTAGGTCCAGGATTTCTCACTGTTTGTTTTTAACCATCTTCGAACATTTCAGAGTACATCTTGATGGCAAGCCAGTTACCACAGTGGCCATATTGTAAACCTAACTGGTGAAATTAAGTTTGCACCAGCATTAGCGACTAAACGGATTGCGCTAATTACTTCCTGGTGAACAGCCAAAGGTAGACGTTGTTGCTTCTTCCATCTGACTGTTTTCACTATAATCACTGTGTTGGCTCCAAGATAATCCATAAGCTACCATCTCCTCCTCAAAGTGTTTCCTTCATTTCATCCTTGGACGTCCAGCTCATCGCCAGGTTGCTGCTTGGGTTTTCAACTGAGGCCTACTGCAGGCGGTCATTCAACGGTCACCTTAGCGTGTATCCAACTAATATCCACTTTATTCAGCATACGTGTTGCTCCACAGGATCTTGGCTTTTGATTCCTTCTACCTGGTAATCTTGTCTTTAGTGTGGAACGATGGTAGCTGTTGATAGAATTCTTTTGAGACCTGTTGGAAATGATCCTAATGACGAGCATACCAGTCCTCTGAACCATATAGAAGCGCTGGCTCGGTATTAATGTTTAGAATCCAGTTCTTTTGTTTCATGCTTATCACAGTAGATTTCCATGGTGATTGCAGATAAATGAAGGTCTGTCTTACCTTTCCTATCCTGGAATCTCAGAAACTCATTCGTTTTCTTCTAAACAGTTACTGAGATGTGGGTGTTGTTTTATTGAATGATTATGTTTCTCGATGGAAGATAAACTGAGTGTCAGGTGTTTCATACTGAAATTTTTTTATCTACCAGAAGGCTCCTGATTCATCAGAGATATACCATATTCGAAAGGAGATCATTTGAAACGTCCCCGCCCTCCACGCACATGAGTAATAAAGTGTCGTGAATAACACTTTGGGTTGCTAAGATACGGAAAAAGTAAAGTAAATTTCTTGGTAATAATTAGGCACTTGTTCAAATGACCTTGACTCCAGTAAAAGCTGATAAGTTTAGTCTTAGTGAATCAACGACAGCTGTCTGCTAAAGTTAGTTCATAGCTTCATAACCAAAGTGATCAACAGTCATATAAAGCACCAAGCGGACAACTACGAACATAATGACTAAAATAACATTAATCCGGTTCAGAATTATTGATTTTTGAGCCTATCTCAGATCAAATAAACATCAAAGAAAAACGATTGTTTCAATGTGAAATTATTCAGATTTGTTGAATAAAGCTTATGTAGATGAATTGTTGCACTCTCTAATTACCGTGACTTTGTTGCAATCACTGAATCAAACAGTTTTTCTAATCTTTACTCTCCAGTTACCAACTTATCACTGAATTTTCTATAAACTAACGAATACCCTCCTGTCTTCTGTTTGTATGAATTCACAATTCAAGCTGATTTCGTGTCTAAGGCCTTAACATCTTATGATTTCCATCTGGTTTAATGCTGTTCACCAGCTGTGTTCACCTTAAAACTAACGAAATGCAATCAAATTCAGGGTTACCCTTTGCTTATAAGATACGCTTTCTCTTCTACATTAAATGAGTCTTTTTGATATAACATAGTGCGAGTGTTACAGTACTAATAACTGGGTGCTATTTTGGGCACACTTTAATGTTGCTCGTAGTCATCACATCGATGTATGGACATGACTGGATAACTAGCTTTATATAGTCCAACTTTCTACTGTTTTCTGCTGGAGTTTTCAATATATCCGGCGTGTACGCGTTGCGTCATTTAGAGTTGTATCTGTTCGGTGTTGATTCAGTGGACAAAGATTCGATGATTAACCTCTTTCTTTCTCTCTCCGCCTAGCTATATTACTTCTTAATACCTTTACCCTGCTCCACCGTATTGTGTGACTACGCTGAGGTGAGTACACTTCAGTGTTCGAGACTCTGATACTGCTTCTTTATATAGCAGTATTACTCCTTATTATTTCCACTTCTTTTAATACTTACATTTCTAGTGATATTTTTCATATGGATGTTTTCCTGTGAACGATAATATCGAACCTATCGTCATGCCTTCATTTTATTTTACACTTTAGTAATAGCTGAATCACCATATTCGGACTTTTAAACCAGGGTCAATTTAATTATTAGAAAATACGAATTTAGCTAGACGTAGAATTATCGCCTCTGCTGAGTTAAATGATTAAGATGAAGATAGGCCATTGCAGTACATTCATCTGCATGGAACTGCAAAACGGGTTGGAAGAGGATAAAATTATTGAAGAGTAATATTCAATCAAACTGATGCAATACCCACGTTGGATTAATCACGAACTGCAGTAAAATGCAGGGATGGCGCTGATACTATATTTAGCAAATTGCGAGGTCATGATGTTGTATTGATATGGTTATATGCAGTAATAAGTTATTCTCGGAACATCAACCAGTTAGTTCCATATTAGTTTGTTTATTAGATGTATCACACAGTGAAACAGTATTAACACAGTTTTTGTTCAGCGAAGAAATTTCTTTTCAACGACTTCATTTTCAAGCTGTGGAGTCAGTTGTATTTATATTACAGAAAAAGGTTATTAAGTGGCACTAAATAATCGCTCAGTCAATGTACATATATGTATGTGATAAAAGTTATAAGGGGTAGAGTTGAAGTGGATAAATTACAAAAATAATAAAGATTGTTCTATAACAAAAATGTCAAGTGTTGTCTAAAAATTATGAAAATTAGGAGTACGATTACGATAAGAATGAAGATGTGAAGTGAAGTGGAAAGAATTCAAGTGGTAAAATAAAATAAAAACTAGAAAGAACATTATTATGACCAAGGTAAAGAAAGGGGTTCAACAAAACGCTTTTGAACACATAATTTAGGTTTCTGTTCATGTATAGCTAAGGCTTCGGCCAGCTATGCATACGTGAAGAAAACGTAAACTTTTGGATCGATTCGATTTTACCATGTAGATAAGCCTGAAGGAAGAATCCCGTGTGGCTGAATGACCAGACTCTAACAGGTGATCACAAATAGACGACTTCGCAGTTTTGCATTCGCCTTTCATTAACCAAACCAGATAGTGTTCAGCTACACGTTTTCAGAGATTACGCTTACAACATCCAATATAAACAGCTCCACAAGAGCAGGTAAAAGAGTAAATGCACATGGATGTGGAAAAAAGCGGTAATCTATCCTTGACGCATCGTCTGATCATGTTTCGGCTGGTAAGAACTAGTTGCAAGTCAGCTACAGGAAAATTAGATTTAATACATTTAGATAAACGATTTTTAATCAATTCTGAAATGGTGTCACCTTTAAGTGTCAGACTCACAAACAGTTTTTTCTTTGGAACTGTGATTTGTTTAGGGGCGGATTCTTTCTTGATGTTACGTTCAATGAACCTTGTGGGATAACCATTGTTAAGGAGATTTGATCGAAGGTTATCTAGTTCCCTATCGGTTGTCTCTGCAGAGCAGATTTTACGAATTCTGGAGCATAAGGAGCGAATAAGATTTCTCTTTCTCCCTAAAGGTACCCCTTATAACATTCTGATTATCGTTATTCTTATCCCTCATATATATGTATATTGACTGAGCACAAAGCTTCTGTTATCAACCTCTCCCTTCCTCCAACATGTGACATTCGATTTTAAAAATGTCATTTGATCCCTTCAATCCTATTGTATGGTTGTGTGTAATTGCATGTAGTGAGTGGTATAGCTGAACTCTTCCCTGCATTTCTTATCTTATTCGGGTCAACCTATCTATATTTTGATAGATGTTTATGTTCGGATAGTCTGACTCACCGCTAATTTTCTATTACTTTGATCTATGTATTTGATCCGACAATCATTCCAGCAGTGTTTCAGATAAAGTAAATTGTTTTGTTTTATTGGCTCCACAGGATTGATCCTTTAACCGACAAAGCTTGTTTCTAACTTAGTTTGTGGATATGAATGCCAGCCACTTTTATTCCTGCCTAATTAAGAATTCTGCGTAAGGCTTCCGATGTCCCTTCCTTGTATGAAATTACTACTGACGGTTTAGATTCATTATTGTTGGTGTTGTCATGATTCTGCGCATGTTTGACATGCATGTCGTCATTATTATTTTCTTTATCACTACTATTATTATTTATTTTATTTTTACATTTATT